TTTTGTAGAGACATGTGAAGCGTCGGTCGAATGGGCAGAGACCACAAGCACTTCGCTATCTTCACTGGTGCATCAACTATTAGTACAGTGAAGAGAAGGTCGCACTAATAAGTAAGGCACATTGGTTGTTAGACCTTGTTTAGCGGATTGCGCGGAACGTGTCTACGAGGAACAAAGATTTCGTTCCGTTCCCCCTACAGGTTTTTTGGCAGATTACCTGGGCATCGACGAATAAGCACATGATATCACCAAGTCGATTGGCGTAGTTGTCCATTTTTCGTTCATCTCTTAAAGCAATGATACAGTGGAAAACATCGTTTCGACAAACAGTAATTGCTAAAGTACGGGCTCTCATTTTGAAGGGGACAGCTGGTCGAAAGGTCTTCGAATAATGTTTCACACAATCTGGTGGAGAAAGAAAGTATGAAAATTAGGGCTATATGATTTGAAAAGAAAAGGGGTTAAGACCAAACAGGGCAGTAAACTTTCAAAGACATGACCTTTACCATTTCTTTGGCTTCTTAGCATCAACATCAGTACCGAGATTAAATGAAAAGAAAGTTTGCAGATCACAGAACGTAACAGATCGCGAGGTGTAGGTTAGGACACAGGGATGCGACGCTTATATGTTGCTCGAATTCTCAGGCCCCTTATCAGCCTCTATCTGTCCTTATCCCTTTTTGCCATCCAACAGTAATGTTCTCACATTCTCCGTATCACTTCTTCGAACCACCGTCCCACCGCTCCGCTGAATTTCGTGACAGATGACAAGACACACACACACACACACACACAACACACACGCACACACACACACACACACACTTAACGGATTATGTAATGTAGTAGGATACCAGTGTTTATGTTTCGGAGCTTTACCCTGGAATTTGAAAAAGCAAAGGAAAAACGGAAGCCAAATTTTAGAAATCTCACCGATAATGCTCGTGAAGACCATAGAAAATCTGCGCTCGGTAGTTGTTAGCAATTCGTTCCGCTTTTTCACAACCGCGATGCATTCCTAGAACGAATGTGTTATATCGGCTGCGGTTAGGCTTTGCGACGACGCACGTCGACGCACTACCACCGACGTACTACGGTTGCAGTTGCGCTAAAATGCTACCCAACCGATTTCTCTTAAACTATTTCCTTTGTTCATTAACCACTTTTTTTCGTAAACACTTCTATGTTTCTCATCGTCAAAGTGTAGCGTTCAAGATTATTGTTCACCAGTCGGATCACCCGGCTGCCGCCGGGTGCTCCTCCTTCTTTGTCACGGCCCGGCTTCGCCGGGCAGGCACTCTTTCCTTAGGCGAGGTAGAGTGTGCAAAATACGCCTAACCGTCACAGTGCATTTTCCAGCAAAATGTAGAAAAATAATTGAAAATAGCTCGAGCAATGGGTTAAAGTTGAATCTGGCCAGAGGATCGTGCAACATACAGCGCTTTGTTACTTCCGAAATTCTAATGACATCAAAAGAAAGAGCCTGACGCCCCTTATCCAATCTTATCAGATGCTGGCAGTTTTTGTCACCAACCTAGTGTTCCTTTCCTAAACCCTACATCGTATCTTGGAACCAACCTCCTACTGTTGCTGTGACCCGCGTGATGGACTCAGTGACCATACCCTTCTAACATCCCTCGAATCTTATCAGCAGCTGACAATTCTTGTCGTCCACCAATGTTCCTTTCCCATACCCTACATCATATGTTGGAATCAACACCTGGCTGATGCTGTGATCCGCATTACGAATATGGTGAGAGTCCCCTTCTGAGGCCTCTTATCAGATATTATCAACTGATATCACTTCCTATCACCCACAGTGTTCCCGTCACACCCTCTACGTCACTTCTTGGAACCAATATCTCGCTGCTACTGGGACCGGCGCTATGAATTTCGTGTCAAAGAGACAGACGCACACGCACGGACATTATATATGGTAGAATTGTAACCGTTGTCCCAATGTAGCGCTGAAATCTATCCTTTTGTCCATTCTTTTCTCGGAGTTAGTACCAAAAATCTAACCCTCACACGAAAATTCAGCAACCTGTTAGAGCAGCCTTTGAAGCATCCTACCGCTTGATGCGTTCTCCACCACTGTAGGTTTTTTTTCTGGAATGCACTCCCGCATTCGGCAGTTTAACGCTTCGAATGGTCCTCTCTCAGTTGTTGATGAAAGATAGTCATAGTGATAAAGCCAGTTGCTGCAGTTCATGCCAACTGAGTAAACAACCGCCATGCTTCTGAACTCCAGTTGCTTTAGCGGCCGTACATGATGTCAATAACGATAAAGCCCAGGAGTGAGTTGTGTGCGAACTACTGGGAGCCTGATACCTGGATCATATCAATCGCATAGTGGATGTAAGCGGTGTTGCGGATTTCCGCATGATGAGGTTTTCATTTCTTATCACCCGTCAGTGGTGTCCGCCCCTCCCCTATACCACTTCTTGGAGCCAAGGTCCCACAGACTCTGCCTGCCCTACGAATTTGGTGGCCCTCCGCATCTAAGGTCCCTTATCAAATCTTATCATATGTTATTAGATTTTGTCGCCCCCCTCCCGTCCCTTCTGTATACCATCTCGGAACCACGGTCTCAATTCACTGCAGCCGATGTTAGGAAACAGGTGACCCTCCGCCCTCTCGAAACTTATCAGATGTGTCAGCTTCTGTCACACACCAATCATGTCCACTTCTCTTTCCCTATACCACGTCTCGAAATCAAGGTCCCGCGGTCGCTGCAACCTGCGCTACTAATCTGGTGATCCTTGGCGTATGAAGAATTTATCACCTCGCTGCCAAAAGTGTTTGTCACCCTAACATTCGAAGACTCCCACATCCCTAGCGCTGACCCTGTGATTGTGTATTGCCTCACGCAACTTCATCTACCACTGACATTATATGAGTTTAGTACCAATTGGTTTTCCCGACTGTTTTCACTTACTTGGCGACCAGAGACTGAGCCCCAGTAGAGCGACGAATTCGACCTCTGATAGTATGATAGCACGCATCTGATCGACTAGTGTAGTACGTATGTGTACCTTGAGGGACCTTATCACCCTGCAAAAATTGGTTTTATGTTCGTTCAGATGAGGGCAGCCCGTATGCCATTGACTTAGAGGGCAAGGCAGTGTTTCCATCGTTCATAGAAGGGTGGTGATACTGTTGCCGTGCCTCTTATACAACGCGTTTGTTGTCTTCAAAGGTAGTGAGCACGAGTTGGCCATTTGTATACAATGAATACGTCTAATAGGGGAAAACATGAGCACGTGCGGCGTGGCGCCGCCTTTTTAACTATTCCGTTCTCCCTTAACGCTTCCAAGTCCAGGCCTTGAACCCCCATACCGAAGGCCCACACGCAGTCAAAATTGCTCGCGAGCCTCGGAAACGATCCTAAAATGGACTTCGGGTCCCGATCAGCGCTTACTGTCTGCAAAGCAACTTTCGCCTGCTGAAAATGGTGCTCCCTTGCAGTTTCTTAGGTTCTCCAAAGTAGTCCACAATAACAACGAAAATATCCTGCTTAGCATATCGCGAGGTTTTCTAGCAAGTACTGGCCGTCCTTGGAGTTTTGGACTTTTTAGGCTTTTTTCGGTTATTTTTTTTACTTAGTCCATGAGCCATCGGCATTACATGACACATACTCGTCACCCCTCCATGATGGGTCCGTTCAGTTTTGCTTGAGGACAACCTCCTTTTATAATATCCGTCAGAAGGCTCTGTCGTCACTATGAAATTTTTTTCAAATTTCCATATTCACAATCTTGAGCGCATTGCAAGTGCTGATCAGCCCGGAAACGATTACCGTGAGCGCCTTTATCGCACCGTTTGGCACTAGCACCTTTGTTTTCGGTGCAGACAACCACCTCTTATCGTCGCCACTGCCGTTCGAGCACACTCTCTCTGTTGGAGTATATGTAGCTAAGTACCAAAATATGAGTAGGCTGCCTGATTACTAATATTTCATCCGTGTTCTCAATCCAGTCGGCGCGCGCAAGCTCGTCAGGAGAAAGGGTGAAATAAGCTCCTCCTCCGCCGGCTCGCCTGCTTACCTACCCCATCGCTCGATCAACTTTAGGATGAAAACACCTGGTGTGCCAAGCGCCGCCGCTAGCACCCTCCTCCCCTTCTCACACTCACCTTCTCTGCAGATCCCGCCCTCGATTGCGCCACTCGCCCCTCTCATAAATTGCTAAACCCAAGCAAGACGAACATCGAGCGGCGCAAGATGAAGCCCCGGCCGCGCACGAAACCACTCACAATAAGAACTCCCACCGCCCTCTGGTTTTAGCGAGGTGACGACACACTACGCACGCGTCTGACACCTGCTTTCCGGAGCGCACCCTCCCGCAGAGATCAAGCAAGACGCTCAGAGCTGATCAAACCCCAAAAGACGGCAGCGAAATCTGATCGTCCATGCCCGCACAACTGCTACAACTCCACGGGCATACCTTGGGTGGGTCGGCGTTTGCTGACCACTCGGGGCAAAAACCTGAACTGCGCTTGCCAACGCGCCCATTATCGTATTCCGTGCCTCACTGCCCGGATTCGATTAAACTGGCCCGGCGGCGGCCCTCCCGTCGCCCGCGGGCGCCGCAAACATCCGCTGTTCTTCTCTTTCTTAGGCCACGAGACAAGCCGTATAACTACTCCAAACTACCAACTACTATCCTACTAATAAATGCCTCAACTCGCCACAGTCTCTCTTCTTCACCACTTCCCACCACTCGTCAGCCCACCCCGCTCTGCGGCGGCACGTCGCCAACACACACCGCAGTCCGCGCTCGACACCGCACCCATCCACCTTCACGCCGAATAGGGCTTATCCGCACGATGTCGGCCTGGCCTCCTGTTCCTTCCACACAACCAACACAATGTCTCGCCATCTACCCAGTAATAACGCGCAAAGGCTCGTCGTTAGATGCGTGAACACGCACACGGCTGAGAAACAAAAGTAAACCGTACACCCCCCTCGACAAATCCATTTAAGGTGTTGAGTTGAGATGAATCCGTCACCCTCTCGCACACGTAAAAGCGAATTTACGAGAAAGCCGTTTGATTTAAATGGGTTGCTACCCTAGGCCCGAGCACGGGATGATACGAGTAAAGCTAGATGGCTCCATGCTTCTGACACTTGAGCAAGATGAGCTAGTCAGATCAACTCCTCTCACCTCATTCCCCATATGAGAGAAATCACTAGGGAAACCATCCATTATTTCCTACTCACTCTTTCAGCTGACTGAGATCTCGCTCATCACGTTCGCATGATCCACTTATAAGATACTCCAGATTGTTCAGATCACTGTACGTCGTGAGAGTTACCATCATTCTGAATTATTCAGCATAAAAGCCAGTTATTCCAATGGCAGCCAAGTGGTAAATGAAGCCTGTCCGATAAATAGTCATATCTACACAGCTATCTCAAAAAGTATCACCAAAAATAGGGGTGCGTTCCAGGGGTGGAGCCATTTCCAAAAACGTTTGTTTCGTGTCTATTAAGGTGTTCAGGCGGAATCTTACAAAAGTGTAGTTTGTTTCCGCTGCGCGCGTTAGGGAAACCAAAGTAAGGGATGGTTCAAATCTCTCAGATGACGGAATCTGTATTATATTTCAAATCTTTTTTAGTATTTAAAATATATAGAAATTCATAGAAAGTATTTTTCTGCGTTCATATAAGCCGAGCTTTTTTAAGCGAAACATGTCCAAGAACACCCGAATCCTTTGATAAAAAAGCAGGGGAGCTTACTGTAGCTGAGCTCGTATGCAACGTTGTTACAATTTTCCACCTATTCTTGGCGCTCCCCAACGGGCCGGCATCGGCGGAAATGGACTGCACTTTTGTGGTCTATCTCTACAACATGCAAGAAAGCATTTGAAAAATGAGCTTCACGATCCAGAGAATCCTCTATTGATAAGAAACAAAAAAGACCAACGAATCACTCAATGAAGTGATCAGGGTTTCAGGCGTTAAGATCTCATGTCCAATGACAGTTTTGAGAGGCCATCTCGCATCATGTTATGGCGCCCCTTCAGCTTTTAAGTTAAACTTCACTAATCACCCGCACCATCACTTTTGAGAAGATCTAGGAAATCGTTGAAACGCGCGAAGTCAAAGCACGGTAGAGACCGGTAGAAAATCTTAATCTCTCTATTAGACCGTGAAAAAAGCTCTGCAGTATTTGAGCTCTCATTTCGAATGCGCTTATCCCGGCATGAAAAGCTTTATAAACCCAAATAAGCAACTATCATTATCTACACTTTTCTGCCAACAAGAGACTAGGTTTCATTTTGCTTTCGCAGAACTTCGGAGATCAAGGGCTAATGATATCGGCAAATGCAGCTGCAGCATCATGTTGACTTTGAAGCGGGGGGAGAGAAATGTAGGGGGGGGGGGGTGCGCATGGTCCGGTGAATTGGTGAATGCTGAAGAGTTTTCTACTTCAGCTTCTCCAATTTTTTCACACGTTGACGACAGTCGTGTTTGGCGGGGCGCAACGTAGGACAACGCAAGCGTTTTTCGCTTGCGTTGGCTATGAACCAGGGGTGGCCCATGATGCCCCCCGGAGACTTCTTTTTTAGCTCTGCATGCAAATCGCTTAATCCGCGAATTAACAAAGGGGGTGAGAATTGTAAACGCTATCTCATTCCATGCTAGGATGTCAAAAGTTACTTCTCCGTCTGCTGAGCTGGTAACAGACGATATGTCCAATAGGATCCTTCCAGCTCCCAGTAACGTGACATGAATGCATTTATTGTAGCTCCCTGTAAAGTAATCATAGTATAAATCATTGCATAGCTCGAAACTATGAAACTCTATCTATGAAGCAGAATTGTCCCTGATACCTGTTCTCTGGCATCGAACTGAGCAAAGTCGTCGAATGTATCGAGGATGAACTGGGATATGTACGGCATTTGCCTACGGAATATGTCCGACAAACACCGTCTTTTCGGTTATAAGTGTCAAAGGCTCCTGTAGACGAAGAACTAAATGAATTTATTCCGAAAAGGATTGAAATGTGATTCAAGAGAACCGACTCATCTAGTACAGAGTGTCTGGGAGAAAGGTTGTATTTAGTTCGCTAAGAATTGCTTTGCACAAGTTCATATAGGCAGGCCATCAGGGAGCTTCTTATTTTGGAAATTTCGCTGCGCAGAGAGGGGGGCTGTACCTCGGTACTAGAAGAGGACGTGGTCGTGACTCGCCCGATTGTTTGCTGATTTCTCCTTTTTCCTGCACTCACCACCTTAATCGTCGATAACATTTCTGAGATTTGCCCGAGAGGAAACCTATCCCTGCGCTTGAGCATATAAGTCCTGACTCGAATTCCAGTGAAGAATAGATTTCACCGCTCCTAATATTATGTTGTACTACCTAGGCCAATGCATTCTCTGTTCGCGGAATTGAGGGGTAAATGGAGTAACGATGTTGGTTTAATTTGGAATTTGAGATTGAGGGGGGGGGGGAATGTATTGAATTCGCCTTGATAGTGAACGGGAGTACACCTTTAACGAGTAATTCCCTCCAAAATCATGGCAGACCTTGTGCAAAATCAACAAATGGCGAAGACCAAACATCTGAGCGTCTTTTGTGTGACCAATGATTTGCTAGTCGTCAAATTCTGGAAAGCAGGATTTCTGTGTTCCCAACAGCCTGATGCTAAGATAGGTACTTGTTGAAACGCTCGGTGGCAAAGACAGAAAGAACTTGTGGACATCTTGGTCGATCCCAGAGCGCTGCGCGCTAGCTGAATTTTTGAGGATTCTGTTTTGGGCACTGGATTTTTTTGTAGTTTCGTTTACTCACCCAACATAGTACGTGCTACTGATATCAACGCATGGGAAATTGTTGAATGCGTCTGACAAAAGAGGAATTTAGTTATTTATTTATTTACCAGTCTGGCAGACCGCATACTGCGCGCATGGTTAAAGCTATGGTACTGAAAACTGACAGAATTTCACACCTAGCAGTTCCTATTCACATGTTTCGACGGCCGCCCAACTCATCATGTTTCCCCCTTTTAATAAAATATGCAAATGTTTGGTGCTTATCATATTTCTGAAAGCACCATTCGTGAGAAATAGGACAGAATAGCGGTTAAATTTCGATGGTAAAAACATCGAAATCGTAGTGGGCTCGTATCAAATTCTCTGCCGGCCAATGATCCTCTTTTTGGTGAAACTCAGGGCCGTTTGGCGGTGGTAACAGTCCAACCGCTTGACTGAGGGTGGTTTCTGCTAATGAGAAACTCTTGAGCTCACTAAGCCGGTGTGCCGTCCAATTTGATTCTTTGGCCATGGTGATGTGAGCTTATGGACTCGCAAAACCTATTCCCTAAGACTCTGAATGTTACCCAGTGTTGCTCAACGTTTGTTGTGGATTCGGGATTTTCCGTCTTATGAAGCCTGTCATGCTTTCCTGCTATCACCAATAATGTTCCTATCCTGCCCCTTATCTTTCTTCTTTCCAACGTCCCATGGTCGCGACCGATGTTATGGATTTGGTGATCCTTCTCTTCTGAGAACACTCGCTGATGTTATCTTTCAGCTGTATCAACTTCTGCCCTCCCGCAATAATGTTCACATCCTGCCTCCTGTCTTACTTCTTGGCACCAAACGTCCCATCGTCGCTGTGGCCGATGTTATGAAATTTGTGACCCTCCCCTTCTACGGCTCCTTATGGTACCTTATCAGCTGTTTTCAAGTCCGGCCACCCACCAATAATGTTTCCCATCCTGGCCCCTAATCTTATGCTTGGATCGCTAAACGACCGCGTCATGCTCTACCGGCGGTTATGAATTAGGTAACCCACCCTTTCTAAGGCTCCTTATTGGTATCTTATCAGCTGTTATCAGTTCCTGCCACCCACCAACTAATGTTCCCATCCTGCCTCCCTATCTTACCTGCTTGGAACCAACGACCCGTCGTTGCTCTAGCCGGCCTTATGTACTAGGTGACCCACCCCTTCTAAAGCTCCTTGTGGTATCTTATCAGCTCTTATCACTTGCTGCCACCGACCAATAGTGTTCGTGCCCGACCCCCTACATCACTTATCAGTTTGGCGCTCTATCGCTGTCCTGAAGGAAGTTATGAATTTCCGGTCAAACCACACACACACACACACACACACACACACACACACCAACACACACACACACACACACACCACAACACAGCTACAACACACACCACAGAACACAACAGCACCACACACAGAGCAAACAAACATTCAACACCACTCCCCAGCAGACAAAGTTAGCGATGCATGAGTTAGTAGGATTATATGCACTACTAGTGCGCTCCCCCCCTACAAATCCTATCCGCAGCCTCATCGTGGCGTGGGGGTGAACGGTTTTGGACTGTTCCAAAACGTACCAATGCGGAGGGTGCCACGTCAGAGCCTGGCGAGCTACGCGTGGTTAATTTTCTTCTCGCCGAAAACAGTAACAACTATGGGCCTCATTCCCCTGAAGCTGAGGGAACCACCGACAGGGCGACGTCGGCTGGGACCGCTCGGACGAG